TAATAAAAAAATTTTTTTTTACACGTCATTATAAAAATGTCAAAAAATAAAAAAAAAATTATGTAATAATTTTTTTCGGTAAATTATAGTAGGGGTGTGTAGATCTAGTCATATTATGCAAATGCAATCGATTATATAAAAGGGAGAAAGGAATTCAGGGCAAAAATAAAATATTGTTATTTGTTTCTTTTTTGCTTTTTGATCGACGCAAAAATTAGCGCGGGAAGAATAAACAAAACGAAATAAAAAGCTACATACTCGGATAAAATCGAAATAGTGTTAATGTTGTGTTTGTGAAATAATGTTAAAGGTACTTGTGATTTTGTGTTTGTGAATATCTTAAGTAAAATCATATAAAATCTTATATACGAAAGTTGAAACGAGTGCAAATTTAAGAATCATAAGTTTTATCAGTCGAGTTATCCTCACATTCCATTAACTTAGCGACAAGGTTAGGTGCATTCTGCTTAAAAGTTCTTTTCACTTTACTATCTTTTTATGTGAAATAGTAGAAAGATAAGCCTTGAGATAATCGAAAGGAATAAATTTTTGATAACACTTACGTGATTGATTAGCGCATAATTTATCTATATCCTTAAATAATTTTATTAATCGCATTTCAGTAACTTGTTCTTAAAAATAGATATAGTAATTTAAAAAAAATTACAAACTATTAATATCAAGACACATGTTATATAAACAAAATTTATACCATTTGAAGTCGAGCTTAATGAAGATATAGAATCGGTTTCAGAAGTTCCTATAAAATAGGCAATTTATAACACATTATATTAATTAAATTTAAATACATAGATGTAAAGGAGAACAGATTAGAGATTTTCCTACTTGTTTCTAACCATTTGGGGGTTAATTCACGATGGGGATGATTCTCACAGCATTTTTCCTGCTCTTTAAATATAGGTCCTGTAACCATAATTTTCTCACCAAGTCTTTCGAATACATCATGAACACTCGGACGTCTGTTAGGGTCCTCGTCCCAGCATCTTCGATAGATTTCTATATACTCGCAAGGTGTGCCTGGTACCGGAGTTTCCCTTTTACCACTTAATATGGTCAGAATATTTTTCTGACCTTTAAATGGAGGTGTTCCGCTCGAAATTTCCCAAAGTACTACCCCCAAACTGTATACGTCAGACTTTTTTGTAAAATTAGCATAATTTTCTTCATTTAATACAATCGGGTCCACGAATGCTGGCATTACTTTTAGTATTGAAAATGTTAAACTTTCACGGGACAGCACTTTTGACATTCCAAAGTCAGTTATTATCGCCCGAATTTCTCCATCACGTTTCGATAGAACTATATTTCTTGTATGCTAATCGTAATATTATATATAATTTAAATTATTAGTACTATTTATTTACGTAAGCGTAAATGATATTCAGTCTTTCCCTTACCAGGTCACGATGTAAAATTTCATTAGCATGCAAAAAATCCAAACCATTCGAAACCTGCCTACAAATGTTAATCTTTTCTTTCCACGTAATTTCAGCGAATTTCTCTTTTAAATATTCGCGTAATTCGCCTAATTCGGCATATTCCAGAACTATTATATAGGATCCTTCGGGAGCTAAAGTACAAAATAATGTTAAACATCATGTTTATATTCGCTAATGAACATTCATTCAAAAAATACTGTAAAATTACCCCGACTAAACAAAAATGAATATCAACATATTGAAAAATAATAATAATAAATTAAGTTTATTATTATTGTAACATAAACACACCTTGTTCCAAGAAACTTTATAATGTTTTGGTTAGAATCTCTCATATTTACAGCACCATAAACTTTCACCTGACAATGGACGGTTTAAAAATTACGTTAGTTAGTTAACATTGTTAAGAGCAAAAAGATGGTTAACACCAATACAACCTCTCTAACAAGCTCTTGATACGATTTTGCGTTCACGAATTTCAATACAACATATTTTTTATTACTTCTGTTACCCCATATTGCCTTTTTCACTTGACACGAACTTCCTTTTGCTTTATGTTCTATCAAACTAAATTCATTATACCCGATATTTTTTATGTGCATATCTTTTAACAATTTTCTGATCCGTCGACGATATTTATCAGGTCGACCTGCAATCTTAAATTATTTAATGAGTTATAAGAGATTAGAAAGATTTATATAGCTTTAACTTAAATGCGTACTCACCAAAGTTTTAAAAGTGCTTATCATTGTCCTCACGTGACCAAGAAAATATTTTAAAAGTATAACGAAAAGAATAAAATAATATATAACTATATCTAGTATCAAATAAAAATGCAAGAGGTGCATGCGCATTCAGTATCCCATTTAATACATCCTTCCTTTTATAAACTTTGAGTTATCATCATTACCTCTACAAAGTACCCAAGAAGTAGTAATTAATTCGTTCTCTGCATGGATAGATTCCAAGGGAATTAAACAAACACACTGAGGTGTGTCATATGTATCTGATATTTCCAAAGAAAACGAATTTTTTCTAAGAATTTGGTTTTTTCCAAGTGAAATTTCCAGGATAGCAATGTTAAAACTATGCATTCCAGATAGTTTGGGTTGAGGGTACGATGATATGTCATGATGCCGCATTTTTTGCATAAGAGCAAAATCACGTGATTGGTCTCTGTCGGACGTGTCCGAAGGAACCGCGATATTCCTAATTTGAGTCATCCGATAAGTTTCCTGCTGCTGTAATAACATACAAGGACTTTGGTATAGATCTTGAAAATATGACTGAACGAATTGTTTTGTTGATAGGGTGTATTGATATCTTGCGTTCAGTGTCCAATTAGTTTGGTGAACTATACGTCCGGCCACAGTAGCAAAATTCCTTGCTGTTAGTTTGGCGATCAAATGATCTTCACCGTTTGAATCTCGAGATGATCCTTGGTGCTGTATTCGTGGTGCGTTAAAAATCAGAGAATTGAGTGAAATTGAAGTATTATTTGGCGCGATCGTCAAGATTGAAACGACGAAACAGATTAGCAATAATGGATAAGGTAGAAAAAAATGTATAGATAATATATTATAGTATTAATGAAGTACGCGTGGTGGAAATTTCACCGATTAAAAGCGAGCTTCCCTACCTCACACTCTTTCCAACGAGGTTTATCCATTAATAAGGCGAATAAAAAATATTGAGATATAATTCTTTTAATTTAGACAATTGGGGCAAAAGAGGGTTTTTCTATCGCATTATACTTTCTTTTTTTACAACTTAAGCAGGAATGGTTGGTCCGGCATAATATCGCAGCCGTTGTAAGAGATGATTGAGAAACAAGCAATTGTTTTTTCATGCGCTCAATGCAGATTTTGAGGACATTTATATAGAAAAATTCATATATACTTGACAGCTATATAGTGATTATTTGAATTGAAGAAACGATTAAGTGTTACAAAAAATTGAGGATAAACAAAAAATTGAAGAAGAAACGATTAAGTGGTACAAAAAATTGAAGAAACGATTAAGTGGTACAAAAAATTGAGAATAGACGAAGAAATAATTAAGTGGTACAAAAAATTGAAGAAACGAAGAACATGATACAAAATTGGTGTTTCCATATTTTCCAGTTATAGGTTAGAGCAATGAGTATATCTTGAATTCTTTTTAAATATAAATGATTTCAATTCAACATTTAAATTTCAAAAATATTTTAAATATCTTCTAAAATAAGATTTTTAAATTGGATACAATAGTAAAAACAATATATATATTTATTGTTTTTTAATAAATCATTTGATAATAAAAAAATATTTATTTTAAAATTTATTAAAAGATATACTGTAATTTGATATACAATATATCTATAGTATTATAATATAATAAATAATATATAAAAAATTTAAACAATATTTTTTAGATTAATTTTATATAATCTTTTTTTTTTCCGGTAGGTAAACATCATTTCTTTATTTATTGGTATGATACTTAAAGTTATATATACTTGTGAAAAAAACAACATCTCTTGGATGCAAAAAACATATAACAAGTTAAATATTAGCTTGCCTACCCATCTATATCTAGCTGATATCAAAAATAATTTAAAACAATATTGTATATGCTAAATATAGCTGAAAGCAGTTATGCTTACTTACTCAAATTTTTTTGATTGGATATAAAAAGAATAAGAAATTGAAAAAAATTGAAAAGAAAAATAAACTAAAGCTACAATAACATTGACTACTGAAACTAAAACTAGGTTATTTGAATTATAAGATCTATATAAACAAAAAAAATATTTAAAAGATGATCAATAGTCTGGCCCTTATACTGGCATTGGTCTTAGATACATAACCCTTATTGACATAAATAATAAAATATAATTGATATTATTTGTTGTTATATTAGTTGTTATTGTTGTTATTGTGTTAAAAAACCGATTTAAACAGGTTCAGTTTTTTCTTTGTTGTTTTGATAAAATCTGATTGGATGATTGGAGAGTGATGATTATCTGGAGCAAGTAAACTGATTTTGATTTTTTGAAAAATTTTTTTGAAGATTTTGAAATAATGCAGTAAATAGTGCTATGGTAAAGTTATATGTGAAGGTTGTGTCGAAACAAACAATAGACCTAACAATTTTATTTAAATATGTTTTTGAAAAAGTGTTTAATTTAGCAAATGTAATAATATTAATGTGAATAGTTTTTGTGATATAATAAAAAAAAGGAAAAATACAAGAGAACAAAAGAAAAGAGAACTGTTATAGACCTTTCCTCATGCAACTGAAGAATAAACAAAACTTCCAAACTTGAGTAGATTTCAACCAGAGGTTCCATCCTATTGCACCAGTTGTCTTGAAAGTTTTTAAGTTCTTGAGCTGAAGCTTATTTGCAATAAAGAGTATAAACCATTTTTTCTTGCTTAAAATTATTATAAAAGAAAAATTTTTAACAAAACAGATACTATCAGAAGAGAGTTTTTTATTAATTTTATATAATCAAATAACAAATATATTATATTATTTATAATAATTAAAATTTTAAAATTGAAACTATATTAAAAATTTTAATTTCAAAACTTTAAGAATATGTGCTTTGATTTTTTTGATAATTTAATACAAATAATATAAAGTAAGAAATTTATTTTTTATAGTTTTAATTTTTTACTAAATTATATTTTTATTAAAAAAATAAATTTAATATATATATTTTACAAGATTTATAAATCTATAGTATAATAATAATATTTTATCATTTATTAAAAAAATTTTTTTTTAAATTTATATTTATTTAATTATAGTAAAAAATAAAAAACTTTAGAAAAATAAAATATTACTTCTTAAAAATTGAATTATATTTAATTTAGAAATAAGAAATATAATTTCTATATAAAGGATTATTTATATTTTTATTTATATTTTTTATTTCAAGTTATTGTTTAATATTATTACTAATTACTAGATCTTTTAAAATATACTATTGTTGAAATTTTAAAAATTAATTTGAACTTCAAATTTCTCACTGCTCTAAATTAATTTTCTAGTTTATATTTTCTTTTCAAAAAAATGTATTTTATATTTCTTGAAATTTTATATTTAAAATCTTTAATTAGAAAAAATATCAATTTTTTATGAATAATTTTTCTTTTAAATTAGAATTTTTTGATAATTAATTTCAAAACTTTTTTCTTTAATTAATTTTAAAATAGATAAATAAATAAACTTTTTAAATTTTCATTAAATTTGAATAAGATTTTTATTTTTTGAAATGTCAATCCAAGTTCTAATGATTTAATCATACATTAATTACATTATATTATATGTAAATAAATTAAAATCAATCAAATAATATATAATTAAAATCAAATTTATATAATATTTTAATAATATTAAATAATAATAAATTAAATTACATAATAAATTTTATATATTATATATTCCTATTATTATAATTTAATATCAATTTTACATTAATTAAATTATTATATATTTAATAATAAAATGATATGATTTGAATTATCCATACATGTGATATTTAATTTATGGGTAATTATTTTCGAAGGCGAACCGAAATTTTCTAGCATGATTTTAAAATTTATACTATATATGCATTGTTTAAAAGTTGGGTTCGAAAAAATCATATCTAGTATTTTTGTCGCCTTCAAAAATAATTACCCTTATATATAACAAATTATTACATTATCTTTTTAAAAAAAACAAAAAATTTAATATCAGATCAAATTGTTGAGATTATTGTTTTTTGTTTTTATATATAAAAATGTAATTTAATAATTTAATTTTAAAAAAATTATTTTAGATAATTTTATGTTTTGTGTTTTCAAATATACAATGTATATTATATGCATTTACGGCATATATTTGTCTTATTCTATTAAATTATAAATTATAAATGGAAATACAAATTTGTTTTTTTTCAATTTTTTTTTTTTGAGATCAGAATGTATGATATAGTTAGTATTTTTAGTATTTATATTTTTTTAATATTTTCTTATGCACCGTTACATTAGTAATGAAAAAATGACGTCAACATGATTAATAATAAGAATAAACAAATCATTATTAATCCATAATATGTCATGTGGAAGATTTTCGGGAGTTCCAGAATTTTCCGATAAACTTTATACTTGTAATGGCGCATTAGTGTAACACAACGAAACAGCATTCGGATTTACTAAGCAGATATAATTAATTTGTATTAGTAAGGCGAGGAATTTGTCCGAGATTATTTTATTGGTCGACATTGTAAATTCAAGTAACTCATGACCGTAAAGATATACCCATTCGGGTCGACCCATATGCATTGTTGATTTATGAATTGCGTATGCAAGTATATACGTACGTACGGACTTCGTCATTTAAAGTGAAACATTATATTGGAGAAAGGATTACGTGTCGACGATATTGTGCATTAGGATCGTCATATACTTTTTTGAGCATACGCAACGTGTATTGGATAGTCAAACACAAACTTAAAGAATTTCTCTGACTTGAAACTATACTTAAAGAATTTTCGATTTTGGATCTGCGGTCCAAGATTTGCTCCGTCCACATTCGGATTAGGTCATTGCCTACGTAATTGTGCAGTCGAACCAGTCCAGGCAGACCTCATGGGCATTTTTTTGTACTCGAAGAGCAAGCGGTTCCGGGTAAAGAAATTTTCCTAATCCTCAGCAAAAATGTTTATCCTTCGATTAAGTTTCATAGGCACAGTAATTTCTCTATTCCTCAAGTAAGAAGACAAAACAAAATTACAATTAAAATTTTAATTACATATGCATACAGTATATTAGGAATATGCTTTTGTTTTTTTTACCACGTGCAGAAATTGCGTCATGAACTTCCCTTTAAGGATCCGAAAAAAACTATAAAAAGGCGAGGTTGCTTCTCAACATGAATTTAACAAAAAAAATATTTTCGTGGCAGTCATGAACAAACGAATCAATAATACGATAAGAAACAAAGACAATAATCCCATAATCAGACCAGAGTTTCCTCCAAAAATCAAACCCAAGGATTTAGTTATAAGTCCAGAGGACGGTGCTAGCAAACCCCCTAGGTCGCCGAATGCATTTATTATTTATCGTAAAAATTTTGTTGAGGCAGCAAAAACTGGTGGATACCATCTTCCAATGACTACAGTATCGTCGATGGCATCAAAATCTTGGGAAAATGAGAGCGAGGAAGTTAGATCCTATTACAAAAAACTAGCAAAAGATGCCTACAACTATCGTAGTGAGATGTATCCGAAATTGGAGCGTCGAAAAAAGCGTAAGAGATGGAATATCGTTTCTTTCCAACCTCCGACTAACGAAATTTCACGAGAATCACCTTCGAATGCTCATTCGCCGAGCATAGCAGAAAGATCACCCGAGGTGAATAACGAACAAATTTCAAATCAACATTTTATTTCCCCCGAGACGGGTAGCTTTTTGTTAACACCGGATAGACATTATGATCTTTACACGTCAACATCATTTGACCCTCGCGAGACTTATCCAAACTCCGAACTTTCACCGATATCGAGTAATTCATCACCCGATCTATCAAACAATTCAACCGATTCATTTGACTTTGCCAACGGACTCAATTTTCCGTTTCAAGGTACCTTAAGCCCCGATTCCGGCGTACCGAATACCGACGGTTTAGTAAATCCCGAGATTCCGCCCATAAACATCTACGAATACAATCAACCATTAGAATTAAACAGCCAATTCCTATGGCAAGACCCGAATTTAATTCCCATATACAAGGACAATGACATATACATGAATAATTTAATATTATTAAATACATACGATTTAATGTTGAAGAACTCACTGGGGATTAGTTCATATCCACCTGAATTTATCAACGACAACCATGATCAATCCATATATAGAGAGATGGATTCATTGTAAAGATGTTGTTTTGTATTAAAAAAAACAAAAAAAAAAACATGTATATTAACATTATTTGAGAATCGCATTTTTCTGGCACGTCATTTGATAATAAATAGTATATAATAGAAAATAAAGTAACGTATGTAAAATAAGAACATAAGAACATTGATATGTTAAGTGACATTAACAAGAAATAAAATAAACGAATTAAGAGCATTCATATCGATTTTCAACCAAGTATTATAAAAATTCACTTCCCGTATGGATGTCAACCAAGTATTATAAAAATTCACTTCCCGCATGGATGCTATCGAAAATGGAATAAAGTACATTATAACATTCACCGTTAATAAAAACTTCGATTTCACATATACGCACATAAAGAGATGTACAGTTATTTCAAGTTCTTTTTTGAATGATCAAGTTTGAGCTTTGACCAACAAGCTAACAAATCCCGTTTAACTGAAACCAAATAAAAAATTAGTATGGTTCAACACGTTTGCTATTAATGCCGTATATAAATTATGTTATTGTGGGTAAATAAGGGGCAAGTATGTGATGAGAGTATTACGCGTTTGAGCATGACACACTTGGGGTAGATAAGTAGAAAGACAGAATGGTCAAAAAAGATCGATCTTGGTTTAGTGGTGGAATACACTTGTAATATAAAAGAAGTAGTAATAAAGAACCAGGATTAGGATAGGATAATCAAGTATCTAGCAGATACTCAAATGAGACGACAGCAGCAATATACTGCACAATATACACAACCCGCAAGTTCATGATTAATATAATTTAAATTTGATATAAAACAAAAAAAAAGTAAATATTCGAAATATTCGAGACGTGACAAATCTTGAAACCGATTCACATTAAAAACCCAAATCAAATATTTTGCAAACCAATGAAAATCCGTGATATTCCAATATCAAATGAAGTATATTTCCATGTGGTACCGAAATATTAAGTAAATATTTCTATTAAAAATTTTAAAGCAAAAAATTCTTGGCCGTAACTCTGTTTACTATCATATATTGAATACACAATAAACACCGACATGTTTACCTTTAGTTTTGATGATTGCGTTGTAACCATGCAAGTAAAACCATTTGTTTTATTTCTTCGCCATCGAGTCGTGTTTGCTGCGAGCGCTAATCAGTCACGTGAAATCTACTGTGCCCTTTCAGCCTTTTCAATTGTTTGCCATTAATATATTTACTTGATAATTAAAGTACAGTAATACATGTAAAATATAGTATATATTTGAATAAAAAAAAAAAATAAAAAACCAAGACTAAAACCAAAACTAATTTTGTCACATTTTTTAATTATGGCGCAATTGCTATATCATAAAATTCGATGGTCAATTAGTCACAATACATAACAATTGTTTGTAAAGCTGCGTCAAGATAATATATTTATTATTTTTACTTGCTATTTTAAAAATTTTTGTCAAACCTATTCGGATTCGAAAAGTTTCAAAGAAAATTGACTAGACTTGATTGATTTCAAGGATACAATTTGTTTTTCAAATTAATTCAAGAATGTTACACAGGGATGGTAATCGGTCCGATGGATTCTTGTTAAGCCCGGATTTTTCCAGTCGATTCTAGATCGTACGTAAATTCTCGTTCATTTCGTAAATAGAATAGGACCTGTTTACGGAAAAACGGAAAAATCCGGAATTTCCGGTCCGATCAGCAAACTCAAGCTTGCTACGTGAGAGGTTTCATAAATTGTATCAAAGGTCAAATAGGTCAAATGCTACACGAATGATCTTTAAGCAATTTTGTTTTTCACGTATCTAGGCATCTGTATGATTATTTATGTTAACAATTTAGAAAGAAGTCATCTTGGGAAATAGTAAACATTCCAGAAATAAATTATCCAGAGTATCTTTGAAATCATTCCTATCATGCAATGGATTTGCATGATTTTCGCGAAGATAATGACTTTGTGGTTTCTTTGAAAAAAATTTTCCATAACAGATGGTAAAAGCAATACGCAAGATATAAGCCTAAAATTTATTATGAAATGATGAGCATAATAAATTTACAAAGAAATTTTGATCATTTTCTCGTCAATAGCATGTCTGTATACGCATAAAACACACGTCGAAGACAACTCATTAAAGAATGATAGAATTAACAAGAAGAAAAAAATAACATCAGAAAATCAACTTCACTCCTTAATGAATTTCAACATCTGTATCTTAAAAATAACCTTCCAAAAGTATGATAGGGTCTTTGGCAATCAAATCATCCTTTCTCTCAATAACTACATACGCTCCGATGATCTTGGGTTCTTCTCTAATCAATCTTTTTGGGACAACCAATACGAAAGAATCCGTCGATCCATTTGGTCGAATCTTAAAAAGATTAGCTAAGCTTTCACCTTGAGGCTTAAGATCGAATATCACTTCATTGTTACGGTAAATTTTAATACTGATATCTTCTTCGCTGTCCTTCTTAAACCCTCTACTAAATTGACCGTGGATGATGGTTATTCCGCTACTGGTTTCCCAGAATAAAATCAATCCGGTGGCCGTGTCCGGTGGATTAAAATATGCTAATGCTCTTATTTGAGAATCAGTGGGATAAAAGGTATGTGTAGGATAGGGATAAGTACACGTAGTAGTTTGCAAGGGAGAGGAATCAGGAGAAGAAACCGTAACGATGGGTTCGTCCTGGAAAACTAGGTGATTAGGAAGGGAATTGGCAGAGTTAAAATTGGTGAAGATAATTAAAAGGAAGATCGTATAAGATATTAACTTGTTCATTGTTATGAAATGAACGTAGCTTTTTACGAGAACTTCTTTTTATATGGAAAATCGTGAGAAGAAAATTGCATTGCACGACCTACGAATGATTACATTTAATGACGTTACTTTTTCACAATTCAATTTCATAATACAAAACGGTTTATACATGTTTGAAGGTACTGTAGTATTTACTTGTTTAAAATACATCATTTTTATAAGAACATTGAAAATAGTGTACGTAGAATTATATAGACACGATCATTTGAAAAAATAGTTTTTTTAAAGATTTTTAAAGATTTTTAAAGATTTTTAAAGATTTTTAGGAGACGAAAAAATTTCAGGAAATCTTGTTTATCTATTATTGTAACAAATATTAAAAAAATTTTTTTAAAAAAAATAATAATAATAAATAATAAAAATGAATTGAATTTTCGGTTTTTTCAAATTATTCGAGAATCGATTTTCTATCATCAAAATAGCGTAGGTGGGTGGATACAGCATATCGTACAGAAAAAGATTTTTTTTTTTTTTTTATTAAAATAAATTTTATACCAATTTTAAACGAATCTGATAAACCCTTTTTTGTTTGTACAGTACATACTATCATTATCAAATATAATATTATTTATTATAAAAAAAAAAAAAAAAAAAAAAAAAAAAAACCATTTAAAGCATTGTCGGTGTTAAATACTGTAAATGCATTTTCCAAATTATTTAAATTCTAATCTATTATTATAAGAAATTAAAAATAGAATCGATGTGGCAAATCTTGGGATCTGAATTAGGCAGATCGTGCATGATACAAACTATCGCATCAATACAACTGATAGAAAGAAACATAGTGTTTTATTAATAGCTTGGCGTCTACGTTTTTGGTAAGTCGCGAGTGACCTTGTATCTGCCACTACGTACAAATCTCTCGAATATCAAGCCCACATGCTACACGGATGACTCTTTAAGCAATTCCTTCTCGGTTTCACAACAAACAGAAAAAGTAATATTTCTAAATTTAACGGAAATTGTGATACTTTTAGGCGTTTATATTATTTATTGTTTACGTTATTCATGAAAAAAGAAAAAACACTTGAATCTTTGTCGTTTGGTGAATTCTTGGGAAAGAGTAAAAGATGCCAGAAACCAGAAATAAATTATCTAGGGTACCTTCGAAACCACCGGTTTTACCACCATTACTGATACATAGCTCTCCCTATCACGCGATAGATTTTCAAGATTTTCACGAAGACAATGATGACATTACGTGGTCTCTGAATGGTGATACCCCGGGAAAAAAAGGTAAACTGAAAGTTGTTCAGGAACCAAAATTTCCACCACAAAAGGCCGTCAGATTTGATTTACGACCCCATCCAAAAACTACACGGCAACCACTAAATTCAATTCTAATGGCATTTTCTTCATCTTCGAGCGCTGTTGCTCCTGAACAATCGAGCTCACTGGATGCCAAGATACCCTTTACGTTGTTGTCTAATGACGGTAACAATTTTTATGAGGTTTATGACGGTGAGGAACATGGAGAAAATATTCACGCAAGAAATGGGCTTAAAACAGATAATCTGTGGGGTTTACCATGGAGGGAACACGGCAAACTTACAAGGAAATTTTGGTTTGTTTTTCTCCTTTCAATAGCGGTGTTGATTATCACCGCCGGTGTAATATGTTTGCTTGTTTTTTGGCATGACGATTGAAACTTTCATGTTAAATTCTTCTTCATAAAACCAGATTATTTGATTATTAATAGGAAAGAAAAACTTATATGTATTATTTTTGTATTATATTGTTTATAGTTTCTCGAGAAATAAATCTTTAAAAAAGTTGTCAATACTTGAATGATGTTGAGAAAACACAAACTCGTTTTTAAAGTACTATTTGTAATGAAACAGCCTAATCATTCATGGCCACGATAAGATCTTTAGCAATCAATCCATTAACAAGACTATTAATAACCACATAAGATCCAACGATCTTGGGTTCTTCGCTAATCAGACTCTTTGGGACAACAAATACAAAAGAATCCGTTGACCCATTCTCCCGAAGCCTAAAAATCTTTCTTAAACTTCCGTCCAGAGGGTTGAGATCAAATAACATTTTATTTTCACGATAAATTTTGATATTAACATAATCCTCCCTTTCATTCCGGAACCCTCCACTAAATTGACCATGGATGATGGTGACTCCAGTCCCGGTTTCCCAGAATAAAATTGCTCCAGCCGTGTTCGGCGGTCCAAAATAAGCTACTGCTCTTTTGGGGGTGCACACACAATTTGAGCGCGTAACGCTGGAGTAAAAAGTTCGCTTGACGACGGGATTAAAAGGTACGCGTAAGACCGGGATAAAGCGAGCACCAAGAATAATGCTTGAGTGGATACGTAGTTTGCGCGTTGGAACAGGGATTGCAAAGTTAAATTTCTGAAGATAGTTGGAGGAAAGATTGCAGAAGATATTAAACTTTGACATTGGTACGAAATGCACGCCGGTTCGTGAAAAAATTTTCAATTACATGTACATGGTTTTCAGATAGTTTGTTATTATCTAACTAAATACTATTTTTAACATCCATCTTATCACAAGAATGTATTATTTGAATGCTGCAAAAACTATTTAAAGAGACCCACCGAGGATTATTTAAATGGAAAGAAGAAGATATTATTATGTTAATACACGGTTTAAGTACAAATGAATGATTTTGATTTTTTTAGTTTCTAATTAAATGTATCATTACAAATAATCAATCAACGAATTTCCTAATATTATAGATTCATAAATAAGGATTTAAAACCAACAAATTATGTATCGTACGCAGTATTTATTTATTTCAATAAGATGCAACATACTGTCAAACCTTCAAACCAAAAATGACAACAAATATTTTTTGGTTTTTAAATATGGCCTTTTTTGTTGCAAATTATTTTTTAAGTAAAAAAAAAAAAAAAAAAAATTTTTTAAGCACACATTATATCAAAGCGCAGTTTTTACTTACGTATGTAATACGTAAGAATTTAGCCTGATAAGGAAGTGAACTTTGTTATATCAGAACAATATGCCCATTATTGGACTAGAAAATCTTTCAAGGTATTCTCTTCCACAGTGCGGTACTCATTTTTGCCGAGAACAGGCTCTTCATATCTTTAAATACATCATCAACAATGGATAATGACCACGTCGAAAGTCAGACAAATGATTCTAAGGCAGTGGCGATTTTCACCACCAACTCACAAGATCCCTCATTTCTAAAGTCGTTTCCACAACACCTAACGGGTCAATTCAACTTTACTCAAATTACTCCGGAAAAACTTGAAATTACCGGTCAATTCACAGGCGAGATAAAGGAAGAGAACACCGAGGAATATAGATTTTGGATTGTTGATAGAAACGGTCTTATATTCCAAGAATTGACAGATGCATTTAAACAAAATAATATTATTCCGAGTGGGGTCAACATGTTAAAAAACGAAGTCGAAGGTGTTAGTCTCAAGGGACCTTATGGCCTTAAGAATTTGTTCTTACAGGTTACCCTGGGAGATAGCATTCTTGGCTTGGCTAAGATCGAAGGGGTTAATTGAGAAGCGCTTGGTAATGGTGGGAAGAAAAAAAAATGTAAATAATTATACGAATTAATTTTCGAGGAATATTAAATACCTAGATATTTGACTACATTTTGCGTATGATCATTGTTATCAAGTAACTTTAACTTCTGCCTTGTAACCGAATTGTCTTTTAGACTAGCCGTGAATTATATTGAAGGTTTCTATCAGCTACCACGAAGTTTTATTATAACCAATTGCATTCAAAATGTCCTATGAACAATAATAACGTGGTCTGATCGATAGTTCATGTGTGTACATGACAATTTTAAGAGATCATGCAACAATTACGCACTCACAAAAGTTTGATTAATTGATGTCAAGCTGAGGTTAGTTCTATACATTTCTTTTATGATTATATATAAACTTGTTTGACATTTAAGTCTGATTGTTCAGAATCGACATTAATACCTATCATCAATATTCGACCACAACAAATTTACAATGTCGTTAAAAATTCTTGTGCTTCTTGTCGTCTTTATTGTGATCCTTGCAAAAAACAAAGACAAAGAAAGAGAACAAAGATTCGAAAATTATGATTCTTATCAAAAAAGCGAAAATCGTGACGAACGGGGTTTTATAGATTATGAAGAAAGTTCCTACGATGACAGTGAACATTTATTTGAAGAGGATGATGACGATGATAATTTCTTTGATGACTATTGCAAAATTTTTCATGAAGAGAATAAAAGAGGTGAACTGAATCGTGTGTAATTTTCGCATAAATGAAAAAACGATCAATGATTACAACATATTCTGAAATCTTTTAGTTGCGGAAAATGGCACACATAACAGTTGCAACATGTATTTAAACTATTTAAACTATTATGAACATTTTTGTAGCAAGCGTGATTAACAACTTTGACGATCATATCACGAAGAACAAGGAATGCTCAAGAGGATTCAATTATTGCTATTTTCAAATGTATTTTATAAACTTTTGTAAATCCTATAATAATTTGTGCTTTAATATTAAGGAATGTGAAATCTAAGAAAGTTACTATTACGCACATTGTAATTATTACGTGATTATTGTTTATATTATATATACAGTATATTAAAAAGTAAAAGTAATAATCTTGTTTTTACAAACCAATTTTTATCCCTTAATATTAAACATACTAAAATAAAATAAATTAAAATAAATTAAATTATTTAGAATCATAAATTATAATTAAATTCTATTTAAAAGTTAATTTATTTTTTGTATCTAGATTGATTAAATACAAGAAATTGTGTAAGATTAAAATATCAAATATCAAACAAATAAAAAAATAAATAAAATTTTTTTTTTTTTAGTTTTATTTATGTTTTATTTTTTAAAAACTGAATGTATTATGCAAATATATCGTAGTAAAATTAAAAAAAAAAATTTTTTTTTTTATAAATTTTAACAATTTTTTTATACTGTATAGTAAAAACAAAGTATTGTAAAAACATTTTCTTATTAATTATAATTTTTGAAATAATTTTATAAAAAAACTTGATAATTTTTTTTTACTATAAATATCAATGTCTAAAAAATTTATAGTTTTTTAAGAAACATCAAATATATAAGAACTGTATTTTGTATAATAATTTTATCTTTATATTTTAATTAAATTTAATAATTTGGATTGATTAAAAATTAATTTACAAGTATTTACTAAGAAACAAATAATTTTTTTCAGTATGTATTATAATTGTAAATAAAAATCATTAAATAAAAAGTTATTTATAAAATTATTATTTTTAAAAAAAATTAATATTAGTAACGACTTATATTCATATATTCATATTTAGTTATTTAGTTTAAATATAATAATGCAATTAACAATATAAATAAATTTAATGGTCGCATTTAAGATTAATAATAAAATAATTAAATTTGTTTTTTCATTTCGTAATATATATATGTATGTGTATGTGTATATTTGTATTAAATGATACGCAGAAATTTTGTTTTCGAAAAAAAAAAATTAACCAGCTTATAAATTTGATTTAATAATGTTCAAACCCTATGAAATCACGCGATTCTATTTATCATTTTATGCGAAATAATTATTTGATAAGCAACCACGTGTTTTCCTCATGAACGCGTATACGAAAATCGCATTCTCTAATTAGTGCTCTTACAATAATGTGAATTACTTTGCATATTTATTAACATTGATTTGCGCATCGAATCAATCGGATTCACAAAATTTATTGAAAGCATTATGGCCGTGATACAAAACTACCGTAGTATTGAACGTATTATTATGTGTTTTCTTTTGTTTAGATCACGTGTACCAACGCTTTTTTCTTGTTTAAAAAGGGACACAATTTCCTTCCACAAAATAATTGAAAATCGACGCTCCTTAAAGTTTATCTCCTACCATAACTTCCCGAAATACATCAAATCTAGAAAGCCAAAATGGTTAATTTCTACCCTCTTCCATCGAAAGAATTTCTCGTATTCATCTTTCTGTTATACTCGACCACATTACTTTTCTCGATTTCCGCGTCAATACTTACACATGATTTCCTGAATTATCTATCTGGTCTAGTTCCAGAAAGTGAAATATCGTGGTCTCCCCAAACGAAATTGATTTGAATGTTGAGCATACAGATTGATTTTGCCTTGTTTAAAATTTAAATATGGGTTGCGGTTTACTTTCCTAATACTTTAATAATTGTAAAAAAAAAATAGTCAAGTGGCTTCAGTGATAGATCACTGACAGTAATTTATAATAACCTCACGCTTATTTTCTTAATATATCAATTCGGAATAGCATCTATAAATTGTATTAATAATATTTGCATAAAAAGATAACACAAATTTATTATCAAATAATTCATTAAAACAAATAAATCTAATATAATATATATATATATCCACGGGAATTTTTTGTTATTGTTGCAGTGGTTTGCATTAGTTTATACTATAAATTATTAATAATAAATGGTAATGAATATAATAATGTTTTTATTATTTAAATTATATATATATAATAAATGATAAGAATAACAAAATTTAATAATTCTACAAGAAAGATGTATTCTTTTATGTAAATAAAAATTTTTTAAAAAAATCTTCTTTATCAATTATAATTTATGCTGTTGATAAACAAGATAAACACAATTTCAGCATATTGTTATAATTTTAAAAATTTGACAATGTTGCAAACTTGAAATTTTTTTTAAAAAATTAAAAATGAGTTTACTAAAATATAATAAATCAAGTAATTAAATATTTACATACAATATATTTACAAAAGGCTTTTATTTTTGTTAATGATATTATTATTGAAAAAAAATATATATTATACTAATTTTAGTTGAATTTTTATTTTATAATTATTTTTATCAAATAATTAAGTACATAATAATAATAATAAGAATAATAATAATAATTATTATTATTATTATATACAATATACTGTATGTATATTATCGTGTTAACAGTAACTTTGCTATTAGTATAAATTCAATAAGATCAATTTGGTCATTTAATTTATAATATATTTAATTTTCAATCTTTGACATGTAATCGATAAATTATAAAAAAACGATAACACGTTAAAAAAATAATAATAAATGCAAAATCTTTTCAAATTAGATATAATTAAAGAAATTTTTGTGTGGCAGTAATAATTTTATTAAAAGATTTGATGTTATAAATTGAAATGATTTAAAAATTTAAATAATATACAGTATAAAAAGATTATGCTGATTTGTCGACTAATTCAATAATAACGATGAAGTTTATATGGCTTCTTTATAAACACAAAAAGAAAACCTTGGTATTGATTGATTGACCCGAATTTTGACGAAAATTCTCAAGATTTTTTAAATTCCTTTTTTTAATAAGAATCTTGAAATTTAAGAGAAAGAATATATTTAAGGAAACAAAAAGAATTTATTATCGTTCTTTCTATGTTATTCAATATTTTTGTATACGTAAGTTAGATAGTTTAAAAAAAACCCAAGTAACTCTCACATAATTACAGTCGGTTAAAAAATTGGATAATGATAGTATTCGAATTTATTACTATAATAATTTCATTATAATACAGTAGTTTCATAAGATATGTTTTTTTTAAAAAAATATATAATTTCAACTCGAAAGATCAAAAGTCGTTTTTAAATAACATTTAGTATACATTTTTTCTAGTTAATTTATGCTAAAGTTATGAAGAAAAAGATATGGATAAATTATTAAGAAAAATTAAGAATTGACCCTTAACCTACATATTTAACTTATCTTGATGTTCCGAATTACTTTCATGTAACTATAGTTTATTGATAGAAAATACCAATTTTATTAGATTTCACTTAACCAAGCCAAATAAATAAGAGCATCTACAAGTTAGCAATAGAGATTTTACCAAATTTATGGAATAAGCCACCCTTGGCTAAATTTTGGTTTTATCAGTTTATGCATTAATGATCGGAATGCGTATTGTATTGGTTTGACCTTGAATGATATATTTGTTTTAAGTGTGAAGTCAAGCAATTTCTATAAGTATCCTCAGTAAGCCTCACCTTTTCCGGATCACGAGAGAATACTCTTACAATTTCCTCCTCGTATTTCTCAGGCACAAGATAAGCTACCTCAGAGCTTTCTATGCAAAAGGCTGAAAATTTTAACAAAACAAGATAAATCTTCCAAAAGGGAAATCAAAAAAAAAGTAACACATTTTTTATATTGATAAATGAATCTACCATCATTGTCTTTGGAATATTTTCCATAAAATTTAACAGAGTCAAGTGGGTTTTGATTTCCTTTGCCGTAGTTCATCTTAACTCTATCTACGATAACATCCTCTACAGATATAGGATCGTCCCCAGTTTGATGGCTAACTATTTCTAATTCGTTGAGATGTTTCTGTAGAAAAAAAATAGATAAGGTCAATTATAGAAATTCGTTATATCTGACGTGGACTTATTGATAACAAACCTCCGTAACGTGAGAATAATATTCAGCTGGAATCAAACACTCATCGACAAATTTATATAGCTTCCGATATCTTAAATTTTTTATGATTTTTCGAGATTCTTCCAACTCCTAGAATATTTTGTTTATTGACAGAAGTAATTATTAGAGTTGAATATTACGATGTAAGAAAAAATGACGAAAATTAAGTTTATGTACTGGATCATTTGAATATTCGATCTTATATAAAATACCATCGGTTAATTTGAGATACTCCTCACGATTGCTGATTACATCTGTGAAACGAAAGATAGGGTTTGCTTTAACTAGGGCATCGGCTATCATATGATCAATTGACTTGCCTATAGGTGAAAAGAAACTGATTAAAAATCCTTTTAAATCAAATTGAATGATATAATAACTAACTTACTAACACGATGGTTGTACACCCGTTTATGCAAAGAGTAACGAGTATGAAACATGTCAGAAATGTTAAAGTATTCTTTGTGAAGGTATGTGATCTGATCATCAATGACCTTGGAGAAATTCATAAGACGTGTGAACTCAAACTTGGATTTCATCCCCAAATAATAACAATCTCTCTCGAGATAATCAAATTTGTCAACATCGATCGAATTACGCTTATTCGCGACAATATCGAATATGAAAGACCTCTTGCTTATTAATCAAAAGCAACGCAGATTTAATTTTTAGCATTAATTAATAATTACTTTATTACCCAAGCACATGTGCTTACCTATCTGTTACTTCACCGGTAATGAGGTCCTTGATAATCTTTACATCTTTCTCATCGAAATCCATAGAATTTTCTTCCAGAAGATACTCCAACATCATTTCCGACCCGACTTCGTGTCTCCACTCACCACTTTTTCTTAAGAGATAACATGTTAGTAAATAAACTTAACACATGATCATAGCATTCGAATTTAACATACAACAGTTTGGGAACAACAGTGTTGTCGAACACGTGACTGAAAGGTCCGTGACCTAAAAGAACGGAACTGTTTAAGAAATAACAATAATGATAATAAACAGTTGCAAAATTTACCTAAATCATGGCATAAGGCTGCCAAAGTTACACATTTTATGTCGTCCGACGAAATTTGCTCGTGTTGTTGTTGATCAAAAAGTCTCTTCACCAAAGAATTCGCAAGGTGCGCAGTGCCTATAATACAGTTCAAAATGCAAAATTGGCTAATGCGACCAGATTTAAAACGGTATTTGATGATAAATTTATAGTGGCAGTAAATTATGCATGATAGTCATACCTAAACTATGTTCAAAACGATTATGACTTGCTCCCGGAAAAACAAAGTAAGTACTTCCAAGCTGTTTTATGTCTCGTAATCTCTGAAATTGTGGGGTATCAATAAAGTCTACAACCCAATCATCGAATTCCATGTATCCCTATTTGAAACAAGACATTATCATTCAAATTATTTATTTATCTTTTTTTTTTTTTTTCATTTCTTTAACAACGTCAGAAAGAAACCCTAGGAACCAAAAAAAGAAACTCGAAAGCTTACATGAATCGGGTCATTAACATATTTAGATGATTTCGGATTATGGGGTTTTCTATTTTTATTAATATAGTTATCCTCTTCCCTGAAAGCCATTTCTCTTCTTAGAACAATAATGCCCCTGTGAAATATATTTTTAAAAAAGTAAAAAAAAAAAAGTACTCAGAAAGTAGTAGGCGATCATTTATATTGGTTTTTTTCACATGACTTGGTTTAAGTACATCTAGGATCATATTAGCGTTCAGTCTCAACTTGCACTTTGCAAAACAGAAAAGGATTGCCTTTAGGGATATTAAAAAAACCCGAAATAATCTTATAATAGTAATTCTCGATAATCTGAGCGACCCTGGATTAACCATTCAAGCCAATTAAGTACTGATGCGCGATGATAAAACTGCACACAAACATAAACGTTATGTAAAACAAATATAAATAATAGCGCGTAGTAAAGATTTTTTTGATTAACAAATTTGCAAAAAAAAATTATTATTTATTAAATTATAAAAAATTTTTAATTCTAATTTTTTTTTTTGTGAATCAATTTTAAGATTAATTTTAATATTTCGTTATATTTTATAATTAAAAAGCTCTATATAAATAAAGATATTTTGTCTAAATTATTATTTTTAAAAAATTTTTTAAAATTGTAAGATTTTTTTTTTATAAAGTATAGTTGTTTATTTAATGGTATTTATTATTTATGATATTGATTTTATTTGTTAAAATTATATACAAATTTTTATATAGAAATAATAATTTATATAAAAATAATAATTTATATATAAATAATAATTTATATAGAAATTAAGAAGGTTAAAATTATTTGTTTATATCAGTAATTCTTTAATAATAAATAATGACACTTATATATAAATGTAAAATTTGTTGTTATATATCCCTTCAATTGTAAGCATTTCTAAATAAATTTGTCTAAAAAATTAATAAAAAAAATATTTAGAATTATTTTTTTTTAAATTTTAAAATATTCAAATAAAATTTTTTTTAATAATATTTGAAAATAAGAATTGTATTATATTATAATATTTTATTATTATATTTTTTGTAATTTGCTTGTAAAAATTTAAATTTGTATTATGAGATAAAAAAACTTGAAAAAATTTTTATAATCAAAATTTGTAAATAAATTTTTATTATTTAAAATTTATTAATAATTTTATAATAAAGTTTATAAAATAAATACTTAAAAATAGAATTAAAAAAACTCTTTTCCATATATAACTTTTTTCTTAAAAATTTTCTTTTATAGTAATTTTTTCTTAAAATTAAAAAAATAAATATTTTTTTCACCTTTCAATACTTAAAAGCCTTATATATCTTCTTTATTTTTATTATAAAAATCTTAAGAAAACTAAAGAAGTATATTGGTGTATCAGAATGAAACATCTGGTCAAGAAAATACAAGTTTGAAACTCTTGCTCTCTTTTTGAATTGTATAAGAAAAGATTTGTAATAGTTACTTCTTTACAAATTTTTCTTGAAGTTTTTTTTATTTTTACTTCTTATTAATATATATTTTTTATTAAATAAACAAATTTTCTTCTTGATAAGCTGTTTCTTTATTTCAAAAATCAAACTTTACATCAATATTGTTTATACTATTGGTTTAAGGCATCAGCAATATATCCAATACCTATTTCTCAATATTATTCAGTACATAATACTGTGCTACAAAAACTCAAAAATTTTCACACAAAAAATTTCTTATCAAAAAATTATAATTAGTTTACTTTTGTTAACCAATCAATATTTTAAACTTAACTAATCAAATACTATCAATTTTTCAAACATATTCATACAATCAAAATATTATATATTGATTAATATAAATAAAACCTTTTCTAATAACAACAATCAAAACAAAATTATACTACCAACAAACAAACTGTTTATTAATCATACTACTATAATAACAATATCATTACTATAACCAATCATCTATCAAAAAAATATATCATCAATACTATTGTATACTTTGAACAATAGTCTGACCATTTCTGAAAATACAATTACTGGACTTCAGTTAAATGAAACTATTAACATGATATATTTAATGATTTTATCTAAAGCATTTATAGTTTTATAATTAGTTTTTTTATATCTATTTTTTTATTTTATAATAGGATTTTTTTTTTAATCTTTTATTTCTTATAATCTTTTTACATATAAACCTAAGTAGATATTCATAGCTGCTTAATATTATCTTAGATATATAATGTTTTAATATTTATTTTTCTTATTACTTAGATAGTTTATATAGGCAAACTAGCATTAAACTTATAATTTAGCAAGTTATATAAAAGATATTATCACTTTTTCCATATATAAATTTTAAACAATTATATAATTAATAAAGTGATAATGTTTACCTATTTAAAAAAAATATTTTTTATAAGATAAATATATTTAGCAAATTAAAAACCTATAAAATAACTCTTATAACAATTTAATATTTTTTAAAATCAAACTTCTTTTAAAAATATTTTCAATAAAAATATTTCTTTATCAAATTTATTTAAAGCAATATTTAAATCATTTTTGTTCAAAATATAAACTCAGAATTTAAAATATCAATACTATAAACAATACTTTATATTTGAATTAAAGTAATAAATGAATTAATTATATCTAGCAAGTAATCAAACTATTATATAACCTTATCAAAAAACTTTTCACTATAACAAATACTATTATTTAAATTAAAATAATTTCTAAAAGTTTCTCTTTACTTTACAATCTTAATTGGAAATTAAAGTACAATATAATAAATATATTTTTCATTATTAAAATTAAATAAAATTCAAATCTTTACTAATTAAAAAAAATTTTCAGTTTAAAAAATCAAGTCAAAAAATATCAAACTTCAGATTCAATATAAGTTCTTAAAATGAATTGATTATGAATTTTCTATTACCTGTTACAAATAAATTTATTAATAGTAATTATAATTTCAAATACGTATTTTATTTTTTCAATTTTTTCAATTTTTTTATTATTAAAAAGATACTTCTAATTCAAAGTTTAATTATATTTCTTTTTTAAATTAATTTTTTTATAATTATAATTACTATCAATTATAAATCAAATATTTTTTATATAATTTTATTTTTATAAATTAATCTTCATGCTTAATTAATACTATTAAACCTATTTAACTATAACAATTTCAACAATATCAAAAATTTTATTACAATTATTATTATCAATATCAAATGTTTTAATAATCCAACCAAATTTAAAGTATTTAAAAATACTACATGTAATAGATTAATTCTATTATATACTGAAACAAAACTTAAAAAGAAAACTTTATTCAAGAAATATTAATAGAAGAACAATAATTTATAACAAATCTAACTTTATAAAAAATAATATTATAATAATTATTAATAATAATTTTTTACTATATACTGTATATTTAAAATATATAACATTTTTGAATTTTGTTATTTAATTATTCTAAAGTTTAAAAAAAAAGTAAATATTTTTTTATTGTAATTTACTTTTTATATAATAAAAAAAAAGAAATTTAATTATTAAACAAATATATCAGATAATCATATTTATTACCTGCAATAAACTTTATTATCTAATTTTAAAAAACTTTAATTTTCATTTTAAAAACAATTACTTTATTGAAGTTAAAATCTTATTATATAAATAACTAATTATAATATTCTATTAATTATATAAATATAAGATAACAATATAATAATAAAGTATTTAACCACTTTATTACTATCAGTACCTTATGTATATGTCTTAAAAAATCTTATTTCTAAAGTGATTTAATATAAGATATAGAAATTTAATACAATACTAATAAACTATTGATAGTATTAATAAAGTTAAATTATTTTAAATTCAAAAAATCAAATCAATTTTTAAATTTAATTTAAACAAAATATCAAAAGAAAATATTTTAAAATTTATTAAAATTAAATTTTTATTTCAATCTATTATCATTATTTAATTAGAATAACTTTTACAATATCAGTATCAATACATTTAACAAATATATCAAAAAATTCAAAA